TTTTTTGTCCTCATGATAGACTCCCAGATGTGAGATTACTGGATTAAAGGGTGTGAATGTTTTTAAACCTTTTGTTGTATATTATCATATCATTTTCCAAAAGAGTTCTGCCACTTTATACAGGTGTCAGCAGCTAACTTTGGTTTATCATCTTAAGATATATTTGAAACTTAGTAGAATGGAAATAGTATTTTACTCTTGTTTTAATATGTGGTCTTTACTGGTGAAACTGAACATTTTTCCTTAAGGGTACTAAACAGTTGTGCTTTTGTGTGTGTGAGTTATGCCCACACATTTTGCCTGTCTGCCTCTTGTGCCTTTAATCCTTTTTTTTTTAATTTTCAGGAGTTTTTAATATTAATAAAGATACTGCTGTTAACCTTTTGCCTGTCATTTTTGCTCCAAATAAGTCTTCAGAATGTGTTATCTTTCCATTTTAGTTATGCTTTTTTTGACGTGCAGAAGTTTCTAATTTTTATATGGTCAAACTCTTTGATTGTTTTCCTTTGTGATTTCTTTATCTCTGAAAGTATTTAAAATTGCTCCTGTGAAAGCATTTATCAATGTTAACAGAAATCAAAATAGAAGATAAAAAGTTACCCATAATCTTCCCAGTGCATCAAATCAAAGTGTTTTTTCCCCAGAATTCCTGTCAGTCTTTCCCATATGTACATAATTTGAGGTAGTTGTTATCACAACATTGACACCGTTCTGTGTTCTAGGCTTTTCTGTTTATTTTTCCACTAAACGTTATCATTTAACAGCATCCTTGATACATCTTTCTCCTAGACTCCTCTGTGTTTCTTCCTGCTTTTTAAGTACTTCTTTGTATTTCATCCAAGGCCTTCTGCTCAGAGCACACCCAGGGCTCCGTTGGTCCTGCCTCCCCTCCAGGACTGGGTTTGTCTGCCACTGAGTGAGGTCTTCCATGGAATGCATTCCGTGCTAGCTTTGTGGCTGACTAGCTGTGTGTCTTGGGCAACTCACTTTATCTCTGAGGTGCTATTTCTTTTTCTGTAAAACGTGAGTTCATAGGTTCAGCCTCACAGTGTTTGTTGCCGGGGAGCATCTGACATGGAGTCTGGCACATAGCAGGTGCCTAGTAATGATAGCTATGACGGGCAGAGCACTTCCTATGTGCTTGGCACTGTGCTAGGGGTTTCCCAGACACAGTTCATTGAATTAGCTGGATCCTCACAGTTACCCTAGAGGTTGATTTTGCATCTGGCTTGACTGCTGAAAAAAATAAAGCTTGATAAATGTTGGCTGTTTTNTTGATTTTGCATCTGGCTTGACTGCTGAAAAAAATAAAGCTTGATAAATGTTGGCTGTTTTTAAGTCTACTGTCCCAAACCTAAAACTTATATTCTGTTTGTTTCTATATCTTTTATATGTTATAAATTCACACACACACACACACACACACACACACACACACAGTGCCACAGCTGCGCGGAGAGTCTGGAGGGTGGCGCGGGTGGGGTGAGGGGACAGGAGGAGCGCTTGGATGCGCTCTGGGTCGGCGGCTGCCAGCGCTGCAGAGCCACAGGGCTGGCGTGTCTGGCTCCCTGGCTCTGGCCCCTTGTGCAGCTAGAGCCCCGCCGCCAGCCTGGGGGCTGCTGAGCTCTCCTCCCCAGGGCCCCACGGAGCCGGGTGTCCTTCTGCGGCCGGAAGCCAGGATGCCCCAGGGGGCGGCATGTTCAGGGAATCAGCAGGGCTAGCTTCTCCTGAGCCCGGGAAGGGGCCGGACACCCGGCCCTGCCGCTTTCATGTTCTGTTACAGTACGTGGCCCCAAAGGGCTCGAATGCAAGTAACTGGACTTCCGAAAGCTTGCTGGTTCGTCGCGGGAGTTCTCGGTGCGTGGTCTCAGTCCCTGTCCCTCTGAGGCGGGCAGCGTGCGTGTGCTGGTTCCGGCTGGGGCCGCTCAGCCCTCGCCTCCTCCCTGGGGAGAGGCCTGGGCTCTCTCGTGGCTGCTCCTCCTCCTCCGCAGCCGGGAGCCCGGCCGAGCCTCGTGG